ACTGCCCAGTTCTCGTAGGGACGAGATCAGCAGGAGAGCTCGTGCCTTGCCTGCTGGAGGCCCTGAGTTCAGTCACAGGCCTAGGAAAAACAAAAGGAGTCGGAGGGCTGGAGGGATAGCACAGCAGGTAAGACATTCACCTGGCATGTGCTCAATCCAGGTTCGTCCTCCAGATCCTCTGAGCCCTGCCAGGAGTGAGCCCTGAGCCCAGAGTTACCTCCTGAGCACCACTGAGTGTGCTTTTCCCAAACAGACAAACAACAAATCCCAAAGTCTCCATCCTTCCTGGTCCTCCCCAGGTCAGTGGGTCTATCCCGCTGGCCCTAACAGAGGAAGCAAGTGGCCTTAAAGAGGTAGGGTTTCCCCTTGGCTCCCGGAGCAGAGGAGATGGGGGGTCTCAGTTTGTTCCACTACATTGCACCCTTGTTTTGAGGGAAGTCCCCGCCCCAAAGCCCAGTCCACCCAGTCTTCTTGTACCACCAGCTCAGCGCTCCGCACTCTGCCGGATGATGCTAGGTTGGCAGAACCCAACCCAAAGAGATCCCTCAAAGTCCCCATCCACCGTCCTCCTGACCCCCAACCCCACCGCCTTAACCTCTCTTCAGGGACTTCAGGGAAAGAGCTAGCCAACCCCAGAACTCCCGAGAGATGCAAGCCGACATCACTACGTCTCCATTTCCACTGGAAGCCCGGGGTGGTTTGGGAGGGCACAAAGCAGGGCCAGTGGAAGACAACAGCTGCCCAGCTGCTCACATGGCCACCACGCCTGTTTCCTCAAGACAGCCTGCATGAACTGGGCGGAAGTTGGGTGCTCAGGCATGCCACAGAGAATCAGAAGATTCACCAGCCGGGAGAGGAGGACCAGATGTGTCCAGCCCGGGAGAAAAACGGGGCTGGGGAAATCAAGTCAGGGCTCCTGATCTTGCTGTGGCGCGAGACAAAATCTTCAGGTCATCTTTCCAGATGACACTGCAAGATCCCTTTTCCCCTTTTCTGAAGAGTCCCCAGCAGCCTAGCTGGGAGAGCGGTGCTGGACCTGGTGAATGACTCGATGCTGACCCCAAGTGGCCAGACGAAGGACTGCCGCACACCTGTTCGTGTCTGCGCCTTTTCCCCTAAGTTCAGCCTCCGTGTGAAGCAGGGGAGACGTCAGCACGCGCGCGCACACACACACACACACACACACACACACACACACACACACACACACACACACACCTGAGTTCTTGCAACCCTACAATGAGTGCACATGCTCCAACCCCTTAGATGTTCTGGGGACTGGGGGTGAGGGGCGGCGTTTACATTTCGGAACAGGGACAGGAGAACCTGGCTTGGCACTCTTCAACCTTGGCTAAGTCAAGTCTCCAAAACTCCCTTTTCCGGAGCCCTAAATGGAGGTGACAGCTGGAGCTCTAGCCATCTGTGTCTGGACTTGGTGACTGAGCTTTTGCTTGGGACTTTGAGGAGGGAACTTGTTATGGGAGGAAGTGGAGAACCTCTGAAGTCACACCGAGCTCAAAGGAAGGAGGCTGTTTCCTGGGGCTTTCCCCGCCAGCCTTCTCCTCCCTCCTGCTCAACACATTCTCCCTGGGGGGATTCAGGCTCTCATCTCCTCCCCCTGCTCTTCCCCCTCCACTCACCACTCCCAAGAAGCCTCTGACCCCAGCCCTCTTCCCTTCCCGCCTGCATCAGGTCCCACTGCGTGTACCCCGGTTCTCCTGTCTTTGTACAGCACCCCGTTTGATGATTACTAGCGGGTTTCCTGAAGACTTGGACTCAAGGGCAAGTTTTGGGGAGGGGCCCCTGGCTTTTGTAGGTCATTACTGTTACTGCAGGACTTGGTTTTGCTTCCAACAGGAGGAGCAGTGTTGAAATCTCGGCACAGCTCCATTCATGCTCATCATGCAATGGGTAGAAAAATGAGTCTCATGGTGGGACAGGGTGCCTTGCACGCAGCCAACCCCGGTTCGATTCCTGGCATCACGTATGGCCCCCAGTCACCACCAGGAGTAATTCCTGAGCACAGCTGGGTGTGCCCCTCTCCCACCCCCCCAAAAAAATGAGTCCATGAAAGATGGCAAGTAGCAATCAACATATTGACACTCACTCCAGCTTCCTTTCCTCTCTGCCAGGACCTGGCCCTTACGGAAGATCCCTGAAGGCATTGCTGGTTTCAGATGATGGTAACTGGCGGAGAAAATAAATCATGATTTGCAGTGCATTGTGTGGCCTCCCGAGGTTCAGAGAAATCAGGGACCAGGAAGGAGGAAAGATGTTTTGGAGCTGAGGCTGCAGAAGGAGGCAGAATGTGACCCGGCATGTCTAGGCCTCTCCATGTCTGCCCCACCATGAGGAACTAAGTTTCCCCTCAGGAACCTGATGTGGTAACCACCAAGCTATGTTTCATCCCTGGAGAAATGGCTTTTTTAGATAAAAGGTAAAGGTAAAGGTAAAGGCCCTCCCGTTGATCGTCGATTTGCTCGAGCGGGCCCAGTAACGTCTCCATTGGAGACTTTGTTGTTACTGTGTCTGGCATATCGAATACTCTCGGTAGCTTGCCGGGCTCTCCGAGAGGGGCGGAGGAATCGAACTCGGGTCGGCCATGTTGGCCGCTTGGAAGGCGAACGCCCTACCCGCTGTGCTATTTTTAATTGAGCGCTGGGTTTTGTTTGAGATACATTTTTCCTCTTGGTTTTGAGCCATACCCAGCAATGCTCAGGAACTGCTCCTGGCTCTGTGCTCAGGTGTCACTCCCAGTGGTGCTTAGTGTGGGACTCAAACTCAGGTCAGCCCCCTGTATGTCAGGTAAGTGCCTTAACCTCTGTACTCTTTCATTTTTTTCTTTTTGGGTCACACCTGGCAATGCACAGAGGTTACTTCTGGCTCGTGCACTCAGGAATTACTCCTGGCGGTGCTCTGGGGACCATAAGGGATGCTGGGAATCGAACCCAGGTCAGCCACATACAAAGCAAAAGCCTTACTCGCTGTGCTATCACTCCAGTCCCACCTCTGTACTATCTTTCTGGCCCAGGGTCTCCACACCGTACCCCCTACCCCAGAAAACTGCCTGAAAAAAACCTTCAAAAAAACAAGTTCCGTCCCCAATTCTGTGTGATCGAGGACGTGATACAGGAGATCAATCCAGGACCCAAAGGAAAAACAGCTCCTTTATTATTTATTTATTTTTGCTTTTTGGGTCACACCTGGTGATGCACAGGGGTTACTCCTGGCTCTGCACTCAGGAATCACCCCGGTGGTGCTCAGGGGACCATATGGGATCCTGAGAATCGAACCCGGGTTGGCCGCATGCAAGGCAAACTCCCTACCCGCTGTGCTATTGCTCCAGCCCCAGAAGAGCTCCTTTAAAGACAGTGAACAGGGAGGAGAGATAGTAAAGCAGGTAAGGTTCTTGCCCTGCACACAGCTGTCCCAGATTCGATCCCGACATCCCAGAGCACTGCCAGGAGAGATTCCTGAGTGCAGAGCCAGGAGTAACCACTGAGCATTGTCAGGTATGGCCCCCGAAGCAAAAAAATAAATAAATAAAGATAATGGAGGAGTTCCATCTTGGCACTGCAAGATAAATAAATAAATAAAAATAAAGATAATGATAAGAGTTTCCCTAACCAAGCTCCTGGCACTGGGAGATGAGAAAGTAAAATAAATGCAGAGAAATTGGGGGGGGGGAGGGGTGGAGCAATAGCACAGCGGGTAGGGCGTTTGCCTTGCACGCAGCCGACCTAGGTTCGATTCCCAGCATCCCATGTGGTCCCCCGAGCACTGCCAGGAGTAATTCCTGAGTGCATGAACCAAGAGTAACTCCTGTGCATTGCTGGGTGTGACCCAAAAAGAAAAAAAAAAAGCAGAGAAATAGGTGGTGGACAGGAAATTGCGGTTTCATGTCCCTCCACCCACGTGGTCCTCAACAATAAATCCTTTAAAAAAACAAGTTAATTGGAGGGACCCAAGAGATAGTACAGCAGTGGGTAAGGTGTTTGCCTTGCCCTCGGCTAACCCAGGTTCAACCTCCAGCACCCTATATATGGTCCCCCTAGCCTGCCAGGAGTGATTCCTGAGCACAGAACCAGGAGTAAGCCCTGAGTGCTGCCAGCAGTGGCCCAGAAACCATAGTAATATATATATATATATATGTATATATATATATATTTGCTTTTTGGGTCACAGCCGGAGATGTACAGGAGTTACTCCTGGCTTTGCACTCAGGAGTTACTCCTGGCGGTGCTCAGGGAACCATATGGGATGCTGGGAATCGAACCCGGGTTGGCCGCGTGCAAGGCAAACGCCCTACCTGCTGTGCTATCTCTCCAGCCTCAATAATAATAATTTTTTTTAATTTAAAGTAAAATGTATACGATCACGGCGAGCGATAGGGCATTTGCCTTGCACGGGGTAGGCCTGGTCGACTGGAGTTCGATTCCTCCGCCCCTCTCGGAGACCCTGGCAAGCTACCGAGAGTATCTCCCTGGCAGGGCAAAGCCTGGCAAGCTCCCCGTGAGGTATTCGATATGCCAAACACAGTAACAACAAAGTCTCACCATGGAGACGTTACTGGGCCCGCTGGAGCAAATCGAGGAACAACGGGAGGACAGTGCAGTGCTCAAGTAAAACGAAAACGAGTGAGTGGGGGACTGAAGATGAAGCTCTACAGTAGAACACACGCCCCAACCCGCCAAAGTCCTGAGTCCATCCTGGCATCCAAACAAAAGGAAAGGAAATAATGAATGAATGAACTGAAGAGACGGAGGAAGGGAAGCAAGACCGCGTGCAGAGAAGGGCGAGCCGGGAGCAGAAAAGAATGAATGGGCGGGTGGGTGGGTGCGCGCACGGTGGGTCGGGAGGCCGCAGGGACGCGCGGCGGGTCAGGGCCCGGGGCCTCTGGCGGGGGGCGCGCGGGGCCGGGGCCGGGGGATTCCGAGGGGCGGAGCCTCGGCCCGGAAGCGCCCGTCGGGGCGGGGCTTGGGGCGGGGCTTGGGGCGGGCCGGGCCGCGCGTCAGATCTGGCTGCCCAGCTGCAGCCGTTGGCCGCCGCCGCCGCCGTGGACCGCGCTGGCCCTGCGCGCCGGCCCGGGCAGCCCCCGCGGGACGCAGAAGAGGCCGCGGCGGCCGGGCGGACGTGCAGCCCCGAGCCGTGGGCCGGGCCCGCGGGCATGTCGGAGGCGCGGAAGGGGCCGGACGAGGCGGACGAGAGCCAGTACGACTCGGGCATCGAGTCCCTGCGCTCCCTGCGCTCGCTGCCCGAGCCCCCCGGGCCGTGCCCCCCGCCGCGGGGCCCCGTCGAGGAGCCGCAGGGCGAGCGGCCGGACCCCGCCCCCGGCCCCGCGCCGCGCCCCGACGCCCGGCCTTTGTCGGGGAGCCCCGGCCCGGAGCCCCCCGCCGGAGCCCTGAGCCCCCAGCAGCTGGAAGCGCTCACTTACATCTCCGAGGACGGGGACACGTGAGTAGGGCGGGGGGTGTGCGGTGGGAGGGGGGGTCCCGGCTGGGACGCAGAGAGCCCCGGCCCGGACCGGCCAGCTCGCCTCCCCGGACCCTCGCGCGCGCCCAGCGCCCGGGCGCTGGCCCCGCCTGCAAGGGACAGTCCCCGCACTTCCCAGCTCCACGGGCCACCCCGAGCCGCAACCGGGCCGGGCCGGCTGGAAAGAGACGCTAAGGTCTCGCGGCCAGCCCTCTGGGGACCCCCTCCCCGGAGTAGGCACCTGCAGCCGCCGCGCGCGCGCGCGCCCCGCCGCCCGCCCCCCAGCCCGGGAAGAGCCCCCCGACCGGTGCAGCCCATCCGTGTCTGGCGAGGGGAGAGGCTACTTCGTTTCCTCGAGCTCTGGGGTGCCCAGCCCCTGACCTCAGCCCCGAAGGAACACACGGTGCCAGCTACAGGCTGCCAGGGGGGGACCCAGGAAGCGCGCGGTGGGGGTGCGCCCGGGTGCACTACCCCGTAGGAGTGGGGGTGCTGAGACGGGCTGGGGCGCACCCGGCCCAGCAGACAGGCAGCGCTGTGAGCCCCAGCTCACTTCCTCCTCTGCAGAGAAAGGGGAAGTGAGGGCTGGAGTCAGTGTCCTGACACCCTCTGCTGCCCGAACCCCCAAATCCCCCTCCCTCTGCCTTTTTCCACGGCCAGCCCCGCCCACCCACCCCCCCTGCCAGGTTGAGTTGTGGGGAACTGATGTGAGGGGCAGCAGCTGCTGTGGTCTCGCCCCTGCAGAAGAAGAAGAAAGCTTTGACAGGAGACGGGGATGGCTGCTGGGGTTAGGGGTGAGATGGGGGGAGCTGGGGGGACGGGAATGGGGTGCACTCGGGGTGCCAGGCAGAGGAAGCTGGAGGTGTCTGTCCTGAGCTGAGGTTCAGAGATGCAACCTTGGCAGACCCAGGGTGGTTTGCAAGAAGTAACCCCAGACCTTTCAGTTCTCTGGGCCCACCTCTCAATTCCCAGGCCCGAAGAAGCCAGTTCTGGGGTTGCCGCCTGGGGGTGGGGCAGGGCCTCTCTAGTGCAGACCTTTGACCCCGGGAGTGGGGAGCTGGTCTTGAGCCTCAACTTTTTTTGTCTTTTCCCTGAGGGAGTCAGCTGGGGTGTCCAGACTGGGGTGGGGGGGAGGGGTCAAGAATCCCCAGGGGATCCCCAGGAGGAAGGGGGCATGTTCTTCCCAGGGAACTGTCTGGGATGCGTGGAACTGGGAAGAGGAAGTGGGAGGAGGGACGGGACGAGCTGGGGAGAGAGGGAGGGAGGTGGCTTCAGTCGATGACCAGCCAGCAGCCCTGGCCTGGCGCAGGGGATTTCCAGCCGTGGTTCCTCCCTGCCCCCTGGCTCCTGGGCCTGCCCACCACGGTGGCCTGCCCCCTCCCCAGCCAGGCCTTTGAGTCGAGCTGCCGCCCTCCCCCCCCTCCACAGACCCTCCAGCTCTGGCTGTCGTCTGCCCCACCTGATGCTGGGGGGAAAACCCCAGCACAGGAACTTCCCCTCCCCACTGGCCCCTGCACGCAGCCCAGCCCTACACGAAGCCTCTTTGTCCTCTGCCGAGAACACACTTGCTCTGCAGAACACAACCTTCCCCCTCAAGGGTGCCTGGAAGAGCACGGAGGCCAAGCAGCCCCGAAGCCTCAGTCCTCAGGCGGGAGTGGAGGGCCGTCATGGACTCCTCCGGGGGCCAGTGCTGTTTGCTCTCCTGGGTCTCGTCCAGCTTTCTCTTTTCTCTGCCTTGGAATGAATAATACCAGTCGCTGGCAGGACAGGGCACCTGTGTCTTCTCTGCTCTGCCTCTGGCCTAGGGGGTGTGACCTGCAGAACTTCAGCCTCCACGATCCCTCCCTGGGCGCTTTCAGCTGCAGCTGGTCTTGGAAGGGATCAGGAGAGGGACCAAGGGAGCCCGTTGCGGGTGGCCGCACAGGAAGCTCCTGCCCACCCCCCGGCCCCCGCCTAGTCCAGGCTCTCTGGAAGGTCAGGGAATTGGAGCCCCCACAGCCAGGCCCCCGGATTTTCTGCCCCCATTCCTGACTTCCTGGCCCACACTCTCACTTTCTGCATCTGTCCTGTGGATAACTACGTAGAAGGCCACGCGTTCCTTCAAGCCCCAGGAAACGCGGGCCCGCTGTCCCCAACCCCAGCCCCTCTGGCCTTGGAGCCGGACCCCCAACCCTGCCTTCTGCCCCTCCCCCAGGCTGGTCCACTTGGCGGTGATTCATGAGGCCCCAGCTGTGCTGCTCTGTTGCCTGGCGCTGCTGCCCCAGGAGGTCCTGGACATTCAGAACAACCTCTACCAGGTGGGTGGAGGGGTCGGGGCCCAGAGCCGTGTCCTCGGCATGGGCTGCACGCTGAAGAAGCACATGTGAGGCCCGCTGAAAGCCGAGGTCCAGAGATGAGTAAGATACAGCCCTGGACCACGTGGTGCTCCCGGCCTGGCCAAGGGGACTCCTACTTAGCCAGCAGGTGGCCCGGTGCTGACACCCCCGTACACAGCAGGTGGCCCAGTGCAAGGAGTGGGACAAAGGCCAGCTGCCAGGGGGGACCCCCCCTCCAGAGGGGTGCTGACAGAGGACTGTGCCAGGCGCATGTGGCCTCTCCTCTTAGCCCTGAGGGACAGCAGAGGGCTCTCACCAAGGAGGGGAGGGGGGACACACGCTCCAGCCTGACCCTGCTGTCCTTTCTCAGGGACTGAAGGGACACTTGGGAAGAGCAGGGGAGGCTCTCCTCCCTGCAACTTCCAGAACTGGGGTTGCAAGAGCTGGGTCAAGGATGACCAAGGGGGCACTGGAGAGATAGCACAGCGGGCGGGGCGTTTGCCTTGCACGCGGCCGACCCGGGTTCAATTCCCAGCATCCCATATGGTCCCCTGAGCACCACCAGGAGTAACTCCTGAGTGCAGAGCCAGGAGGAACCCCTGTGCATCGCCAGGTGTGACCCAAAAAGGAAAAAGAAAAGGATGACCAAGGGGGGAGCTGGAGTGATAGCACAGTGGGTAGGGAGTTTGCCTTGCCCGCGGCAACCCGGGTTCGATTCCCAGCATCCCATATAGTCCCGAGCACCACCAGGAATAACTCTTGAGTGCATGAGCCAGGAGGAACCCCCAAGCATCGCCAGGTGTGACCCAAAAACAAAAACAGAAAAGGATGACAAAGGGGAGGAAGACCACGGTCAGCACCTTTAGAAGCTGTCCTCAGAGGTCATTGGCAGCTGACAGTGCTGTACACCCCCACCCCCTTCCCAGCGGAGAGCGGGGGTGGGGGTGTGCCACGGTGGCCCTGTGACCCTCTCTTCGCACCTGCAGACAGCGCTCCATCTAGCTGTACATCTGGACCAGCCGAGTGCTGTTCGGGCCCTGGTGCTGAAGGGGGCCAGCCGGGCGCTCCAGGATCGGCGTGGGGACACAGCCCTGCATGTGGCCTGCCAGCGCCAGCACCTGGATTGTGCCCGCTGCCTTCTGGAGGCACGACCAGAGCCAGGCAGAGGACCCCCCCACTCTCTGGACCTCCAGCTGCAAAACTGGCAAGGTGCGGTGCAGCCTCAGGGACGTGGGAGGGGACGGGGGGCTGGGACCCCACTCAGGGAAAGGAAGATCATGACCTGTCCATGGATCTGCCTCCACATCCGTGGGTGCATACACACATAGGTGCCCAGTCCATCTCTACTAAATGAATGAATGAATGAGGGACTGGAGCGATAGCACAGCGGGGAGGGCGTTTGCCTTGCATGCGGCCGACCCAGGTTCAATTCCCAGCATCCCATATGGTCCCCTGAGCACTTCCAGGAGTGATTCCTGAGTGCAAGGCCAGGAGTAAAGCCTGAGCATTGCTGGCTGTGACCCAAAAAGAAAAAAAAAGAGAATGAATGAATGAATGTAATGAATGTGATCTTTGAGTTGACTGAGAACCTAGTGCAGGCTAAGCAGAATTTAACCTTGACCTCATTCCATGTAAATGTATTACTTAATTTGGCACTGGGAGCAATAGTACAGCAGGTAGGATGCTTGCCTCGCATGTGACTGACCCATGTTCTATCTCTTGCATACCATATGGTCCCCTGCTCATGGCCAGGGGTAGTTTCTGAGTATAGAGCCAGGATTAACGTCTGAATATCACTGGGTGTGATCCCAAACCCAAAACCAAAAATAATCTAAAATAGGGGCTGGAACAATAGCACAGTAGGTAGGGCGTTTTTCTTGCACCTGGCCGACCTGGGTTTGATTCCCAGCATCCCATATGGTCCCCTGAGCACCGCCAGAAGTGATTCCTGAGTGCAGAGCCAGGAGTAACCCCTGAGCATCACCGGGTGTGACCCCCCAAAAAAGCAAAAATAATAATACTAATATAAAATGGGATTACATGGCGCCAGGGGGCCAGTTGGTGGGTGTGACCCCTGCCTACTGGAATTTGGAGGATCTGGGTGGAGGATGCTCATCCCCGATCCGAGAAAGCTTGGAGATCTCAGCCCAAGGACCCGCATGCCTTTGTTCCTCTGTCAGTACCTTCATGTGTGTGGAAAGTGGTCTCAGCATGGCGGTGGCTAGTTCCGGAGGTCTTCGGCTGCTGGAGCATCCTCCACCCAGATCCTCCAAATTCCAGTAGGCAGGGGTCACACCTACCAACTGGCCCCCTGGCGCTGTGTAATCCCATCAACGGCCAAGACCCAGAGACTATAAAAAGCCAGCTCCCGGAAGTGCGCGGCCGCATTTGCAGCCGCGTGACATCTTATCATCTCATTCCTACTTTGGACAAAATAGCAGACTACCGAATGTAACCTGCCCACACGGCAGAGTCTGGCAAACTCCCCGTGGCGTACCCAATATGCCAATTGGTCCCCAGTAACAATGATGGGTCTCATTCTCCTACCCCTGAAAGAGCCTTGAATATGGCACTTTTTTAAAAAAAATCTCAGGGCTAGGACAAAGGAGACATTACTGGGGCCTGCTCGAGGCAATCAATAAACAAAAAAAGGATGGTCGTGATCGTCGTGATCGAATATAAAATAAATGTATTACCTCATTTGTGTGGTGAGGGAGGGGAGCACCAGGAACCTCATACATGTAGAGCATGTGTTCTGCCACTGAACTGCATCCCTAGTCCATGTGACTCATATAGTAGAGATTAAAGGAATCCGTTAATTTGCACTGAGGACCTTTTGCGTGCCAGATGCTAGTCTAGAAGCCTGGCCTGAATTTCTTTGTTTCTGGGAACAAAACAGAACCACTGAGACACAGTAAATGGAAGGAGTGAGGCAGCTTTTCTTGGAGGAGTCCAGGGTTGGTCTCTGGCACCCGGTAGCCCGAGCTTCACCAGGAATAATCCTCAAGCACCGTCAGGTGTGGCCTCCTCCCCCCAGCGCTCCCCGGAAAATGAACTGAGTAGGTTCATTTCATAGTAGTTTATTTTTTTTTTAAGTAAAACATTTTATTTGGAGGGTTTTTGAAGGGAAGGAGGAAGAGAACGTGGGCGAGAGTGGAGCATAAGAGAGACGGAGTAGCGCACTCAAGAGAGAACCCGGGTTCCTCCAGGGGCAGAGAGAGCCCCTCCACACACCCCAGCATTGGGCATGAGAGCATGAAAGTCCACATCTCAAGAGGGGAGATGTGGGCGACATGTGTGCTTAGTCACTGCATGTGCTTGGCCACGTGGGCACAAGCAGCTCACGGGCTGGGCTCGGGCAACACACGTACGTGCCTCATTTTCTAGTAGTTTCAAGGGGGAGGGGACCCCCTGTTCATTCTGTGGTTTCCCCCTATTCTGTGAGTATGAATACAGTAGAGGTTAAAGGGGGGGGGGGAGAAAGAGCAGGATGAGAACTGGAAGGGACCTTGAAGTCATGTTTTTTGTTTTTATTTATTTTTTTCTCTTTGGGTCACTCCTGGCGATGCACAGGGGTTCCTCCTGGCTCTGCGCTCAGGAATGACCCCTGGCGGTGCTCAGGGGACCATATGGGATGCTGGGAATCGAACCCGGGTCGGCTGCGTGCAAGGCAGACGTCCTCCCCGCTGTGCTATCGCTCCAGCCCCTTGAAGTCATGTTGGAATAGGGGAGACAGGGACCTTTGAGCAGTGACTTGGAGGAGGTCAGGGATGTAACTAGGAATCTAGTTCTCCAAGCAAAGAGCAGGGGTCCAGGCCAGGAAGGAAGGAGCAAAGGGACGGAGGGAGCCTTGGGGGTGGGCGCAGGCAGACCTGGGGAGGTCTGAAGGAGGTGGCTTCTGAATGGGGCTTGGGGGTGGGGTTTGAGAGAAGGAAGGGGGTGAGCGGGGGAGGGCGGTGATGGGGCGAGTGTGTCACTCGGCAGCCTGACCCTTGGAGCATGAAGCATGAACGCTGTGATAATATGACTCTGAGAGATGGAAACTTTGAGTCCTTTCCCCCCTAAGACTTTTGAGGGGGTTTTGGGGTTTGCGTTTTAACAGTCCTGTGACCCAAGGCAATTTAGTGGGCAGTGGGTCCCTTGGGGCTGAAGAGAGGTCCCGGAAGAGAGAGAGAGAGCCGGGTTGGTGGGTGCACCTGATCAGCCCCGGCGTCCGCCCCGTCCCAGGTCTGGCCTGTCTCCATATCGCCACCTTGCAGAGGAATCGCAGGCTGATGGAACTGCTGCTGGGGAACGGAGCTGACATCGACGCGCAGGTGAGGCGGCCAGTCTGCCAGTGGGGGGGGGGGGGCGCGGCGTGGACTCCGTGGCCCCCGCGGCTCGCGCCAGGCCCTCTCCGGGGCTGACTGACGTCCTGATCTCCTTCCAGGAGGGCACGAGTGGAAAGACAGCCTTGCACCTGGCCGTGGAGACGCAGGAGCGGGGCTTGGTACAGTTCCTGCTCCAGGCCGGCGCCCGGGTGGACGCCCGCATGCTCAACGGGTGCACGCCCCTGCACCTGGCGGCCGGCCGCGGCCTCAGCAGCATCGCGTCCACCCTGTGCGAGGCCGGGGCCGACTCCCTGCTGCGGAACGTGGAGGACGAGACGCCGCAGGACCTGGCGGAGGACGTAAGAGGCCTGGGCAGCGCTGCCCAGGGACCGCCCCACCCTGCCCAGGGGCACTGGGTTAGGAGGCCCCGTGAAGGCCGTGGCTCTCACCAACAGCGTGGACAGCCTCCTCCCCCCACCCCCGCCCCCGCGCTACCCTCTGAGGCCCCAGATGGACTTGGCCGGCCTCCCTACAGATGAGGACAGCTAGGTGTCGGGTCAGTGGGGGCCCAGAGTCTGTCCCGGATTCCTGGGCTCCACTTCAGTAGGTGGTTGCAGATGAGGAATGTGGCTCAGGTATTTCCACGGTTGGAATCAAAAGTAAACGGGAGAGGGGCTGGAGAGATGGCACAGCGGGTAGGGCGTTTGCCTTGCACGCGGCTGACCCGGGTTCGATTCCCAGCATCCCATAGGGTCCCCTGAGCACCGCCAGGAGCAACTCCTGAGTGCAGAGCCAGGAGTAAAGTAACCCCTGTGCATTGCCAGGTGTGACCCAAAAAGAAAAAAAAAAGGAAACGGGAGATTTTCTATGAATTCTTACCTTCCCCCCCCTATCACGTACCTTCAGAAAAAAAAAAAAAAAACAAGAACAGACCCATAGACTGTATTACCTCCTAGGTGCTTCTTAGTTCTGATATTCCGGCGTTTCCCTCGAAAGATTACTTGACTGTGACCATGGGGCTCTCGCTATTCCAGAGGGGTCCCTTTTTTGTGTTTTTTTATTGTTTGGCTTTTTGGGTCACACCTGGCGATGCACAGGGGTTACTCCTGGCTTTGCACTCAGGAATTCCGCCTCGGAGGACAATATGGGATGCTGGGACTCGAACCCAGGTTGGCCGCATGCAAGGCAAACATCCTACCCACTGTACGATAGTGGGTATCTTTTCTGAGTGTGCAGAAACATCAACTTCATAGAAGACAGAGGATCTAACCAGAAAGCGAAGCAGTCAGATAACAGTTGGGGTCTTGCTAATCCAGTCAACAGCAGTTGAAGTCGGGGGGCCAAAGAAGCGGGGTCACTGCTAAGTCTTTTCTATCCAGTTCCAATCCTCAGGGGCGTTGGAGGGAGCCCTCGTTTTTGGAGATCAGTAGGAAGTGCTCCCTGGTATCCTTCCGCTCTCACTTGGTCGGGAAATGGCCCCAGGGTGCTCCCAGCTTCCTTCCTGGGTGGCTGCCCTTTCCAGGGGCCTGACGTCCACTCTCCCTTCTCTCCCGTAGCCTCTTGCTCTTTTGCCCTTCGATGACCTGAAGATCTCCGGAAAGCCACTGCGGTGCAGCAACTGAAGCCAGGCAGGCTCTGCCTTGCTCCCCCGAAAGCCGGGAGCCACAGCGCGTTTGCACCCGGGCGCGTGCCCTTCCTGTGTCCCCAGGACCGCGGAGGCCAGCCGGTGGCCAGCAGAGGAGGAACCCACAGTGAGAGCGACCGTCTGGAGGGCCCGGTGCTCCAGGCGGCAGAGTTGCTGGGACAGTCGCCCCCCCCTTTTCGCCGCCCCACCCCCTTCCAGCCCTGGATGACCTGAGCAGAGCCTGTCTGCCTCCCCTGAGGTGGGCTGGGCCTCATTTTCCCCCCGGGTGTTGTTGGGTCAGCCTGGAACTGCCAACCTGTAGGAAGCATGGATGCCCCCGAGGGGGGCAAGACTGAACGAGGAACCCGCAGGAGCCGGAGGGGTTCCGCCTCATTGCTGAGGACTCTGACTGAAGGACTTCACACCGGAGCCCCCAGGCTGGCCGATGGGGAAGAGGAACTCTCGGTCACACAACACTAAACCTGCAGAGACTCTGCTCACGCTCTGCCCCAGTTGTTTTGTGTACGTGCATGTCAGGGTGTTGGGAAATTTTAGGCGAGCCGCTCAGTGACCTTGTGGCGGCTGCAGGGAGAAGGCTGGGGCCTCGTTGGGGAGGGGAGAGGAACCCACGGTCCTCAGGCCTTTCTGCGGGAATGCAGGGGGCCGAGGAGGAGGGAAAGGGGGACCCAGGTGGGAGGCTTCCCCCTCCCCTCCGTCCCCAGGGGGCCATCTGGAGAGCCTGGAGCAGATGGGCTGGCCTGGGAGGGTGACCCGAGGTGTCGAGGTGTCGGTGGCTTTTAAGTGACTTTTTCTTGCATTCCACGTATGTTAGGTCAGGCTCCATTGCGATGAAGAATATGGGGGAGGGGCTGGAGCGATAGCACAGCAGGTAGAGTGTTTGCCTTGCACACGGCCGAACCAGGTTCGATTCCCAGCATCCCATATGGTCCCCTGAGCACCTCCAGGAGTAACTCCTGAGTGCAGAGCCAGGAGGAACCCGTGTGCATCGCCAGGTGTGACCCCAAAAGCAATATATATATATATATATATATATATATATATAATATATGTATAGGAATAAATCAAGTCTCTGGCCCCTTGGAGCTCACACACAGTCCAGTGAGCCAGGCGATCACTCATACACGTTCCAATAAATTCGTTATTGTGAATTACGGCGGGTGCTGCGGAGGAAAGGGGCGGAAGGGAGGGCCGCGGAGCGGGTGGCCGGCCCAAGAGGCCTCTGCGCGGCCAAGTGGAGCAGGAGGCAGGAGGCAGAGGACGGGACGGGGGAGGCCGTTCGGGGAAGTCTGGGTGAATTAGAGGAACTGAGAGCCGGCCGGGGGACTCGGGCGGGGGCGGGGGCGGGGGCGCTGCGGACCGGGGCCGGGTCACGCCGAGCCCCGAAGGTCACGGGGGCTGTGGGGGCCGGGGGTGGGGAGCGAGCGCGGGCAGCCCCGCCAGGAGAGGAAGGTCACGGGCCGACGGCGGCGACGTGCGGAAGTGCGGGGACTCCGGAGGGCCTCGCTGTGCCCGTCCCGTCCCCGTCCCCGAGCTGGCCCCCCGCCCCCGTCCCGCGCGGGACGAGCCGTGGGAAGCGGGGACGGAGCGGAGGCGCAGGGCGGGGTGCGGGCGGCGGCCCCCGAGCCGCCTCCCCTCCGGGCCGCGCGAGGGCGCTGTGGCGCGGCGGCGGCGGCGGCGGCGGCGGCGGCGGCGGCCCAGGGCGCTGCGTGGCCCGGCCGGGGGCGGGGGGGCGGCCCGGGAGGGAGGCGGGAAGAGCCGGCACTTCCGCTGGCCGCGCTCACACGGCTGCTGGCGGCGGCGGCGGCGGGAGCGGAGGGCGCGCGCGGCCCGGGGACCCGCATTCCCCGGCCCCCCCTCCGCCCCACGGCCCGGGAGCCATGGATGCCAGGTGCGGGGGGGGGCCCGGGGGGCGCCGCGGGCTCACGTGACCGAGCCCCCGGGCCACGTGACCGCCTTTGCCGGGTCCGGGCCGGGGGGGCCCGGGCGGGGGTCGCTGCTGGGGGGGGCGGCCGCGGGCCCGCCCGGTCCCCGGCGCCGGCGGGGCGTCGGGGGCTGCAGCACGTTCCTTGGGGGCGTCCGGAGGAATCGGGGTCCCCGGAGGGCGGGGGGAGCCGGGGCGGCCGCCGTGGGCCCGGGCTGCGGGCCGATCGCGGGGAACAGAGGGAACCTGTGTGGCCCGAGGGGCGGCCCGCCCCCGGGAGGAGGGCCGGAGGGAGCCCGGCCCGGCCGCGCCGGCCCCCCCAGGAGAGAGAGAGGCTCTTTGTCCGGGCCGGCTGCAGCTGAGGGGGGCGGGGAGAGGCTCTCCGGCGTGGTCTCCTCCCGAGGGCCGGAGGGATGAGCCCCGGGGCCTCTGATTCCCCGCCCGCTTGTCCCCGCAGGTGGTGGGCAGTGGTGGTGCTCACGGCGCTCCCCTCCCCGGGGGCCGGTGGGGAGACCCCCGAAGCCCCTCCGGCGTCCTGGACCCAGCTGTGGTTATTCCGCTTTCTGGTGAACGCGGCGGGCTACGCCAGCTTCATGGTGCCCGGGTACCTGCTGGTGCGGTACTTGAGGCGCAAGAACTACCTGGAGACAGGTGTGTGGGGTACGGGTGGAGGGTCCCGGCTCCGGGCTAGGAGGGCCGCGGGATGCGGTCAGGAGCCGGGGGAGGAGGGAGGAGGGGGAGGGAGGGCCGCAGCTGGGGGGCCCCCGGAGGGCGTGGTGGGGCCTGATCTCCTGTGCCTTTTCAGGCAGGGGTCTCTGCTACCCCCTGGTGAAAGCTTGCGTGTTTGGCAACGAGGCCAAGCCTTCCGACGAGGTGCCTCTGACTCCCCGGGCAGAGCCCCCAGAGACCACCCCCACTTGGCAGGCCCTGAAGCTGCTCTTCTGTGCTGGGGGTCTCCAGGTAGGTGGGCAGGCTCTGCTTTTCTTTCTGGGTGGTTCCTGGTGGGTGGGCAGGGTTCCTGGAACCCAAGTTTTCGCCTTCCCAAAGTTGGCTGGTTGCTGTCTTTCCTGGGCCACACTCGGCCACCATCTTCTTCAAGGGCTGGAGGCTCTATCTCTTGTCCTTCCGTTACCCCCTTTTCCATGTTATCTGCGATGCCGTTACTACACTTCCTCCTGCAGTGGCTCATCTGCTGTAAATCTGATGCAAGTCTGAGATCGCTGTTTCAACTTTCCCCCCGCAAAGGCCTGCCTGAGGGTTGCTAAGCCGACCTCATAGCATTTTGGAATGGGCACTGTTCGTTTCACCCCAAAGACCCTGTCTAACAGCTTTCCAATCTTCTCTGAGAATTCTTGCTGGCCCAGATTGGTTGAGTTGTATTCATAGAATGTTCTGGAGTTATGTTCATTCTCTGGACACAACTCTAATATACCCTAATATAATATACCCGAGTGGGGAAAGACAAGGTCTGTACTTTTGTCATTTTAATGTGCCTTGCATATTCGATTCCCTACGAGGTGAAATCAGGCTTAGGAAGTGGAAACTTCTAGTCACTAGAGAAACCAGAATATGCTGCTCTTTAGATCAGCGGTTTCCACTGGGGGTTAGTTACTCCCACTTAATACATGGATTATGTCGTTGTATCAGACAGCGGCAGCCCATGGACCAGGGGTCAGAACCACTGCTTGAAGTAATTTCCGCTTCCTGGGGTAGACTAGTGAGATCCAATCTTGTTCACTTTTTCTCTGTTGCTTATTTATTGTCTGTTCCCCCCCAGGCGTCTTACCTGACTTGGGGTGTCCTGCAGGAGAGAGTGATGACTCGAAGCTATGGCGCCACACCCACATCCCCAGGGGAGCACTTCACAGACTCACAGTTCCTGGTGTTGATGAACCGAGTGCTGGCACTGATTGTGGCTGGCCTCTGCTGCATGGTGTTCAAGCAGCCCCGGCATGGAGCACCCATGTACCGGTATTCCTTTGCCAGCCTGTCTAACGTACTTAGCAGCTGGTGCCAGTATGAAGCGCTCAAGTTTGTCAGTTTCCCCACCCAAGTGCTGGCCAAAGCCTCCAAGGTGATCCCTGTGATGCTGATGGGAAAGTTGGTGTCCCGGCGCAGTTACGAACACTGGGAGTACCTGACAGCTGCCCTCCTCTCCATCGGGGTCAGCATGTTTCTGCTGTCCAGTGGACCAGAGCCCCGCAGCTCTCCGGCCACCACACTCTCAGGCCTCATCCTGTTGGCGGGCTACATTGTCTTCGACAGCTTCACCTCCAATTGGCAGGACGCTCTGTTTGCCTATAAGATGTCGCCAGTTCAGATGATGTTTGGGGTCAACCTCTTCTCCTGCCTCTTCACAATGGGGTCCCTGCTGGAGCAGGGGGCTCTTCTGGAGGGGACTCGCTTCATGGGGAGACATAGTGAGTTTGCTGCACACGCGCTCTTGCTGTCAGTCTGCTCTGCATGTGGCCAGCTCTTCATCTTCTACACCATTGGGCAGTTCGGGGCTGCCGTCTTCACCATCATCATGACCCTCCGCCAGGCCTTTGCCATCCTTCTCTCCTGCCTCCTTTACGGCCACACCGTCACTGTGGTGGGCGGGCTGGGGGTGGCTGTGGCCTTCATTGCCCTCCTACTCCGGGGCTATGCCAAGGGCCGTCTAAAGCAAAGGGGAAAGAAGGTGGCACCTGTAGAGCCCCCAGTCCAGAAAGTCTGAGGGGCGAGTTTCCTCTATGGTAGCCGCTCAGAGGCTGGCTGGCTCAAAGGCAAAATGCAGGTTTCCAGTACATGCCAGCTTAGCAGCTGGACACGGGCAGCCCTGGAGGCAGCCCCCAACCCCCCTTTGCCTTAAGTCACCACCCTTCTTCTCAAGTGTGATGGAGTCCAAGGTGGACAGAGGGAGGGAGGTCCCAGAAGCCAGGCACCTTCCAAACCCTTCCACCTGCCCTTGTTGACTCTGCCACTTCACCTGTGCTCAGCCCCGACCTGGAATACGTTTGGGTTCCTCCCAGTGACATTCTTACTCTGGCGAGAAAAGCACAAGTGTTGTAGGCTCAAAATGCTGCTTTCCAGGAAAAAGATGGTGCTGTGCTGGGGTTAAAGGGGTATCAGCCCAGTAATGCCACCACCCCCTATAATGCTCCTGGGTCACTAAGCTCAGCTCCATGAGCCAGTTGCAGGTTTTGGTACTTTGGATATGTAACTTTTGGCTCTATTATAATTTTATTTTATTAAACTGCTGCAATGTCTTGGTCTTGTGTCATGTTTCAGTAGCCAGTTTCATGGTGTGACCAGTTGAATTGGTTACATGGTGACAGCATTTTAATATAGGTAAGCAGCGTATTTGTACTTGTCTCAGAGAGCAGAACTGTAGAAAACACATCATCTTTATTTTGCATACTTTAATTTCAGAACAAAATAAACAAACACAATACACAACATCCAAACCTGTAGTCAAATTTGAAGGGGGGCGGCTTGAGACCCTACCCCTAACCTGCCTTAAGATAGAAAAGACAGGAATGGGAGAAAAAAAAAGACCACTAGAGCCAGGTGGATAAGACCACTCAGGACTGCAAGGGGAAGGGATTAGGACACTATACAGAGAACAGATCTGCAGGTAGAAACTTCTAGTCTACTTCTTCCATGCGAGATGCATCCTCATCACCCTCAAGAGGGGGGATCTCATCAGGAACAGCAGCACTGGGCTCCTCAGCTGTCACTTCATCTTCGTCAATACCTACAAAGTAGAGAAGAAGTGACCTGAGATTTGCTGCAAGCACTGATTCAAACCTGTCCCCTAGGAGTGGGGGGCTCCTGGCGCGTCGGGCACCAAAGGGAACTTACCCAGGCCTAGCTTGATCATGCGGTAGATACGGTTGGAGTGGGTCTGGGGGTCCTCAAGTGAAAAGCCAGAGGACAGCAGGGCAGTTTCGAACAACAGGACCACGAGGTCCTTGACAGCCTTGTCATTCTTGTCTGCCTCTGCCTTCTGTCGCAGTGTCTCCACAATGGGGTGGTCAGGGTTGATCTCCAGGTGCTTCTTGGCCATCATGTAGCCCATCGTAGAGTTGTCCCGAAGGGCCTGAGCTTTCATGATCCGCTCCATGTTGGCGGTCCAGCCATAGGTGCTAGTCACAATGCAGCAGGGTGAAGATACAAGCCTATTGGATATTGTGACCTGTGAAGAATCACAAAAAGCCCGAATTGACATTATATCGGGTTCCTACCTTAAGAGCATCCTCAGTTGAAGGTGTTTTAAGTGGCTCAAATTCTGAAGGGACGCCAAATTCAAATGGATCAACTTAAAGCTGTTGGTACAGGCTAAGAGATCAAATACCAAGTCCTCTTGTTTTGGGGGCCACACCTAGTGGTGCGGTGCTAAGGATCAAACTCAAATCAGCCAAGTGCAAGGTAAGTGCCTTACCTATGTACTTAACTATCTATCTGGCCCCTGAACCAACTGTCTAAAATCTTTGTCTCGGTCTTTAAAGGGCCACGATGGCGAGAACATCCTTTAGTGCTTACCTTCTCAACCTTCTTATCCAAGATTTCCTTCATTAGCTTGCACAGGTTCTCAAACTTGGCCTTGCTCTCCTCCATTTTCTTTTTCTCCTCTTCATCCTCAGGCAGCTCCAGGCCTTCCTTTGTAACTGAGACCAGGGTCTTCCCATCGAATTCCTTAAGCTGCTGCACGCAGTATTCATCAATGGGCTCGGTCATGTACACTACCTCAAAGCCCCGCTTTCGCACTCGCTCCACAAAGGCCGAGTTGGCAACCTGTTCTTTGCTCTCACCTGTTAAGGTTTATTGAACAACAGCTCAAAACAACGCATACGTCTGTTGTCAAGTATCTTCCCCTCAAATAAATATTCCTCCTCCCTACCCAAGGTTTTAATCAGACCTAATGGCTCCAACATACCAGTGATGTAATAAATGGATTTCTGAGTCTCCTTCATGCGAGAGACATATTCTGAGAGAGAGGTCATCTCATCCCCAGACTGAGAAGTGTGGTAGCGCAGCAGCTCAGAAAGGCGTCGCCGATTAGTGGAGTCCTCATGGATCCCAAGCTTTAAAGACAAAAAATTTTTACTTGGAATTAATCTTTTACCTACGTAACTACTTTGTGAGTGGACGATCTACCTAGATTACCAATAAACGTGATCTTACCTTTAGGTTTTTAGAGAATGCTTCGTAGAATTTCTTGTAGTTCTCCTTATCTTCTGCCAGTTCAGAGAAGAGCTCGAGACACTTCTTAACGATGTTTTTGCGAATGACCTTCAAGATTTTACTCTGCTGGAGCATTTCTCGAGAAATATTCAGGGGCAGATCCTCAGAGTCAACCACACCACGGATGAAGTCTGCGATAAGCCAGGGATGAAGAATGGTAAGCAGCAGACGTGAACACAGGGTGGAGCTCCCACTACCCATGCAGATGAGGCATTAGCTGAATGATTAACCCTCCCTGAAGAGACGGTGACACTGTCAAGTTCATGTCACACAGGTACGAATCTCATGGAAAAAACCTTCGAATTACTTAGTATTGTTTTGGCCAATGATCTAACTCAGTGCTACGTAAAGCACTTAGCCTTGTATTTGAAAGACCTCATGTTTGATTCCAAGAACTATAAAGGAACAAGATGACAGGGTCAGAGAGAGAGCACTGTGGGTAGAGAAACAGGACCCTATCCACTATAGGTAGGGTAGGATGATGCTCATCTTGCACTCAGCAGACAAAAATCCCTGAAACCACATTTGGCCCACGCCCTGCCAGGGTATCCTGGAGTGTAAGAGCCTTGACCATTGCCGTTAAGTGCCCCCCACCACACTTTTTTAAAGGAGATGGCAGGAGACAGCTGGCTGTGCCAGGTCTAGGCTGAATCCCTACCAGAAAAACTAGAACGACATAACCAGAAGTAGCACCTCAGCTTGAAAAAAGTGAGGGAGAGTTCTCGGGATGCATCAGTAAAAAATAGTTTTTCACTGTTAATTGTTAATTTATAGAGGATGCTTATAACAAGCTTATAACATCCAATTCCCAAATGATGTAGATCAAAGTAAAAACACTTGAATGTCATAGTTCAATCCATGACACCAGAATAGTATGGCTAGATAGGGAACTGCTTAATAATAGAACATATATTGCATACATTCAGGCCCTCACCAGCACCACTGAGGAAAACTGGTTACATTTCTGTTAAGAAAGAGGTTTTAACTGTGTGCAGGGCTAGACATAAGAGTACTGAACCAAACAGGCAGGTTTATCTTGCACACAGCAGCCCCACATTAGAGCTCCATATGGTTTCCCAAGCCCAGCAGGATTCCTGAGCTCAGGAGTAACTCCTGGGCACTGCCAGATGTGACCCCCCCCAAAAAAAGCTTTAACCATGTACAACAAAGAGGATATACTCACTCAGATATTCTGGTATCAGCTCATCACAGCTGTCCATGATGAACACACGGCGGACATACAGTTTGATGTTGTTCTTCTTCTTCTTGTTCTCGAAGAGGTCAAATGGAGCGCGGCGTGGGATGAAGAGCAATGCCCTGAATTCCAACTGACCTTCTACAGAGAAGTGCTATAAAGAAATGCAAGGTTAAGAGTATTAATGCAAGTAGTGGTTGGGGACAGGTTTACAGAGCAAGGTGTTTGCCTTCCATGCACTGACCTAAGTGTTAGGGGATCTCCCTTAAGACATAATAGTGATTGAGCAGTGTTAAGTTAAATAAGCACTGTAACCTCTTGTATTGCCTCCTCATTTAATACCATCATTGAATCTCTGTAGTCAAGTTGACGTCGAACAGTTAATTTAATATGAATCTTGGATGTAAAATTGTGTGCAGTGACAAGTGTCCCAACAGAACACTGGATATGTAAAACTGCCGTGGAGATCTCTGGGAAGACTTAGCAAAACCCTCTATGCTTGCTCCTACCAACCAAAGCCTCCTTTCTCACCTTGACTGCCAAGTGGTCTTCCCAGTCATTGGTCAGACTCTTATAAAACTCTCCATATTCCTCCTGGGTGATGTCATCCGGATTCCTGGTCCAAATGGGCTTCGTCTTATTGAGCTCCTCCTGATCAATGTATTTCTCCTTGATCTTCTTGGTTTTCTTTTTCTTATCCTTACCACTATCATCCTCCTCATCTGAGCCAACATCTTCAATCTTGGGCTTCTCCTCATCATCTTTATCTTCCTCTTCTTTCTCTCCTTTCTCCTCTTCTGCCTCATCATCACTGATTTCTTTCTCTCTCTCTTTCTCCAACTGCCAGTATTAAAGACAAGGGTTTGAGGTTCGAGAAGGGATCACAAGCTGCAGTTCCCACATGAGGTATCAGTCAATACTCACATAGAGGGTGATTGGATAACCAATAAACTGTGAGTGCTTCTTCACCACTTCTTTGACTCTCCTTTCCTCTAAGTACTCTGTCTGATCTTCTTTAAGATGGAGGATCACTTTGGTGCCCCGGCCAATAGGTTCACCTGAAAGTCACCATTAGTGCAAAGTGAAACTGAAGGTCAACTCAGTCAAGATTTATCCCCTCCAGAAGTTAAACCCAGGCATCTTAAAACCTACCATGGTCTGCACGGACAGTGAAGGAACCCCCAGCAGAGGACTCCCAGGCATACTGCTCATCATCGTTGTGCTTTGTAATGACAACCACTTTCTCTGCTACTAGGTAAGCAGAATAAAAGCCAACACCAAACTGCCCAATCATGGAGATGTCTGCACCAGCCTGCAAAAAAGTTTTCAAGTCAAACAGCGGTTTGAAATAAGACAGAATACTAACAAAAAGCAAACGCTGTGCACCTAAATACCACATACCTGAAGAGCTTCCATAAAGGCTTTCGTGCCAGACTTGGCAATGGTTCCCAAATTGTTTATAAGATCAGCTTTGGTCATGCCAATGCCTGTGTCCACCAGAGTCAGGGTGCGTTCCTGAGGATTTGGGATGATGTCAATTTTCAACTCTTTCCCGCTGTCCAGCTTGGAAGGGTCTGTCAGGCTCTCATAGCGAATCTTGTCCAAGGCCTGCAAATACAATCCGCAATTTATGAGTCTGTTTAATAGTTTCCTAATGTGGAGTTTTGCGTGTTTTTTGGGAACCAGCTACCAACACTATCCAATATACCCACACTGATCAAAGCAAACCTTTTAATGACGGTCTTGACCATCATCACGAATTGCAAAATACCAAGTTACCCCGTCTTTTTTTCTTCCCTTTAGCGTGGAAGGCAAAAATACAATTGCAGA